AGTAATTTGCTACCAAATGTGGCACCATGTGAGACTGCCCTTCAGTCTAGTTCTCTGATCCCTCTGCTTTTAAAAAAAAACCATTGCCAAATAGGTTATCCCCCAATAATGTAAAACTTTCAGGCATTTCCACATTTGAAGTCTTGCCTCTTTCTTGTGGGTACCTTCGAATATCCCAAGAACTTCAGCAATTTGATTAATAAAGTTAGAAATGCAGGCATATTATTGGCCAGGAGATTTTTTTGGAGGTAAATAAGCAATTTTGATTTTACACTCAAGTGTGAATTTTCTCAGAACCAGTTTGTTTCCATGCACTTATTTTTGCTCCTTAAATTTGGCTTTTATCCATTGAGTAGTACATACTATATAAGTAATCCCACTAATTTGAATCCCACCATTTGTTTCACAGCTTGTTTATGGGAACTGCACTTCAAAAGTCACTAGGGTGAGGGTCTGCTTTGGATATCAGAATTCATTGACTCCCAAAGCAAAAAGGAGCACGTAGAATAGAAAACAGTCTCTGGGTCTAGACAAGAAATCCAGGTTCAAGCTGCGTGCTAAATAGAAGGCTAGCAGCCAGTTTTGGATGAAGGTTTCTCACTGTTTCCTTTTAGCCCTGGTCCACCTTGAAAAATGAAAGATTTACTGGAAAGCCATGCCTTACACAGCCCTGTCAGTAATGCTCACACAAGCAGAATGGCAGATTCCAAATCTAATGACCTGCTTTTATTTGTGAAAATTAACAGGACATCATCATGGATCTTCTTGTTGCGCTTAACATCCAAATATTATGTGGACTTTAAGGTCACATGTTACATTGCAAAATGCCCAGTGAAACATAACCATAAACAAAATGGAAATTTTACTGTTTCTTGTAATAGTTCAACTAGGGAAAATTGGTTCCTTAATGTGACAAAATTTTACACACACTATGGCCACCTCCATCTTTATATTAATATAAATTTGCCTCATAGGATATTATGACAACTCTTTAGATCTGTCCTCTTCAGGGCAGGCTCTGTCACACTTTCACACAGCTTCACAGCAAGAGTGACATGTAAGGAATTTTCCCATCTTCAGCAAACCATATAAAACCCAAGGCAAAATCCAGCCACTCCACATGCATAAACGTATTATTACTATTTTGTTGCAGTGCTAGGCCCTGCTGGTAAAGAGAGGAGAGAGGGCCAATCTTTCAGTGGAGCCACAGCACACAGTGACAGACACCAGTCTTTCCAAAAGCCAGTTTCTTCCATACAGTGACTGGTCCCCCTCAAAACTTAGGTTCCTTACATGTTTAAAACCCAAGTGAGCACTTGCGATGTTACTTCTGAAAAATAAGGAAGTCAGCAGAGAGCACAGAGAATGCCATAGACAAATAATTTATCAAAACAATGGTAAGAATAAACTTTAAAGTAGACTATCAAATGGCTACAGATACCCCAGAAAACTTTCTCATAATTTCTTTCTTTAGTGACTGAATCCAGCTCATCATTTTATACTTCTGTTATAGCTGGTGACAGCACAGGCACTTTGAAAGGAAAGGGAAGTCAGTTGAAGCTTCTTTATCTGCTTTAAGTGTAGTGGTGCCATCAATTTTTGCAGAGAAAAGGAAAAAAAAAAAATCTAAGTTCGGATACCGGCTGACCAGAATGATTGTGGTTCACTTTCAACTCAAGCTTGTACGTTCGAGTTAGCTTCTTATAGTATACTATTCTTAAGCATGCATTTAAAACTTTTATGGTATTCTGCTTAGGTAATAATCAGAAAAAAAGAAAGAGTGGATCATCTCAAACTCACTTATTACTATAATAACAATTATTACTATTATTTGGACTGAGAAATAAGTATATGAAACACTCATCTATATAGCTATCCTGAACGTATACTGAGTCCATCGATACCTTAAATTCAGCAAGCTGACTAGCAGAAAGTTCCCAAGCAAGACATGATGATAACATTTCATATAACTCCTCTTTGGCAATACTTAGACACTGCAATTAAATACCAAACAGTATCACATGTGCCAGTCAGTTACTGCAAGAAAGAAAATGTAATGAACTGTTTGTTTTGAACTATTAGTATAAACATATTGCAGAAATGAAACCCAAGCTTAAACAATGGGGAAAGTTATCCAGTATTAAAATAAACAGTTCTAGGAAAATCTCTAAAAATGTTTACCAAGTCATCTTCTTCTGAGTAGTTTCTGTGCAGAGCGTTTTGCCATGTCCCTGGTTTGCCAACCAATCCCAGTTATGCTGGCTATAGATATGCAAATGCTAATGGACAAGGCTGGGACTTAATTGCCTATAACTGGCTCCCCAAGCAAGTGCAATTTCAACTACAATCAAGCTTGTAGGTCATCAAAGAAGCATTTTCAGATTTAAGCATAAAAAAATTGCCTTTTTTAAAAAAAAAGAATACAGGTTTTGCTTCTAGAAATCTGCTAGTTTAGATATCAAGGAAAAATATTTTTAAATTAAAATACTACAGAGTTGAGCAAACCACGATTCTTGCAAACTTTCTTAAATAATCTTTCAATACTGCAGGCTAGCATTTGTGCTGAGAAAATAATTCACTCTGACAAACATTGTCTAGGTACAATTTTAATGGAAGTTATATATATTACCTGAAGTAATAAACATATTTCCTTTATGTAAGTCAGAATATATCTCAAATTCTTAAACATTATTTCTTATTATATCTATTCACTTCCAATCATAGACCTATAACCATTAATTATTCTTTACTTCGTTCACAGCAGGTGCATTGTAAAATGCTATTCAGTGTAGCAGCAGTTATATATGATTTTAAAATCTAGGGGGAAGAATAAATGCAGAGTATAAAAATGAGATGCGAGATATCTACATAATATATTCATTACACTTAAGCATTATGCTTGTTTTGAAAGGAAATGAGTTATGGCTGAGACGCTTTGTAATGGCAACAGCAACAAAGCAAATTCAGTATTCAGAGATGCTATAATGGAGCTGCATCAGCCTCATTTGTTCAGAGTGAGCCATACTCCATCACACAGAGAAACGGGTCCTTTCATTCCAGGGTAAACTGACACATGGGGATACGTGCACAATCCCAGTTTTATGTAAACCCCTGGGAGCAGAGGGTTGGGGGCTGGGAAGGAAAGGAGGAGGGGGGTGGTTCTGCCCATAGCCAGTTTTACAATCACTGCAGAAGAAAAGAGTCCTCAAATATAAACCCCTTTCATTGGGCTTCCTACCTGTTTAATCACTTCCCTCCAAAGTGTGAGAGGAGTAACCCTAACTCAGACTTTCACACTCCAGAGACTCATATTTCATCATGTTCAGTTCAGAGTGAAACAGTGATCTTAGTTCAGTCTCTAGTGGACAAACACAGAATAAGTAAAGTCTTACAAGCATGATTCAGCAGGCAATTTGCTCAAGTAAAATCATGTGTGCATAAACACAGATAACAACTTTCCTCTTCTTAGTGCTTGCCTCAGCCTCCCAAGGTACAGTAAAATAAGTTCTTAAGAAATGCTTTCCTCTGCAAAAAACATCCCCTCTTTTCCAGCCTTATATTCCCCAAAGCAGACCAAGATATTAAAAAATGAGGAAAGTAGTCTAAAAAAGAAATGCTTGGTTAAGTTTTGTTTTATAGTCACATGTGTACTGGACAGAATCTTTTCTCTCTTGCTAGAGCCAGATATGCAAAGAGCACAATTAATTTACCAAGAGATCAGGAAATCCTCTCTAAAGATGTTAGTAGATTTGGGGGGATGGGGACAGCTGTATATGCTTTTTAACATATTTCTCTCTTGTGTACTGTCGGGATGAAACAAAACATGTAAATGAGATAGGTAACAGTAACTATGCTAATAAGTTTTAGCCCACCCAGTAGAGTCTTCACTTGATTTTTATTGATGTTCATTCTTAGTTTGAACTTGTGTTAGAGTTAAATCATGTATCTCTCAAATGGATACATACAGCAGTTTTCTTGTGCCATCTTACATGACTAATTGCATCACTCAATTGCTCAATTTTCTAAGTTTTGCCAGGTCAAAATGCCAGTGTGAGAATGGGAATATTACAAATAACTATATACAAAGACTGTTTGTTTATACATTTTTACTGGTCAGCTATCCCAAGGCATTTTCATTAGCAAAGCATGGACAAGATCCTGCAAGGTATGCAATTTTACACAAGTGAGTAATCCTGTTAAGGTGAATGGGACTGCTCATATGAGTGAAATTATTCACATATTTAAGCCTTTTCAGGCCCAAACTTCAGCTCATATATAAAATACTGAAATGTTCATTGGAAGTTTAGAGCTATTATACAAATTCTTAAAAATAATTACTTCTGCTAAGGTAGTGCAACACCTTCAAACCCATTTTTCCCTTTCTATGAAAGAATGCACATATACACATACAAATTGAAACAGGCTGTTTCAAGTCCAGTGTAATCTACACAATTAAAAAGTTTTACTGCGAAGTTTGGGGACTGTGAATGCCTATATATTTTCTTCTTTCTTTCCAGTAATTAGCTGGGTAGAATAGTATTACAGGAACTATTTATGGAGGAAAAATCATATTCTTAACCTAGTGCCTTTAAATGCTGATTTTTTTAAATGCTCCCTTTTGCTGTCAGAGTAGCAGGTATCCTGCATGGCATCTGATCTGAAGCTGTGAACTATAAGTAGATTTTATAGGAATACTTAGTAAGTTCTGTCATTAGAGTCTCTGGAGGATTTTTGCGTTCTCTGGCTCACAAACATTCATGGTCTCTTGAGATACAGCTTTAAGAAGTTGTATCTTTCAGTAATGTGAAGAAAATTCTGCTCCCAAAAAGCAATGTCACTAAGAAGGGTGCACTCTGGCTGAAACATTTCTCCCCTACACAGCCACGGACTAGACTAATCCTTATTACCTCAGTTCTCATAGAAACTACTGAAATCTTTGAACAGCGTAAGCATCACCAAAAATTCCATTTAGTGAGAAATGAAAAAAAAGAAACACTTACTTTTTGCAGCCACTGAGTGTAATTTTCCATCACATGTTCCAGATGTTGCAGTTTCTGGGAAGAGAAATCCTGTTCCACGTGAGGAGCATCTCTCTGAAGAGCATTTGTGCTGTACTGGTCTGTCGTGCTTTCACGACAGTTCCCGTCCTGTTCTGGCAGAATGAAAGTATAGGTGCACTGCCCATGCTGGATCCGGTTAAATCTTCTCCCACTGGCTTCTGGACCCCGACGCTGGTTATTACAGCCTATATGAGCAAGAATCGCTGCCAGGAAAGCAAAGGAAAGGAAAACTGACATGTTATTATTACTTTCCTTTCCTACGTTAAGAGAAACTTTTTCTTCCTCTTTCTTTAAATTTGTTGTTAATTTCCCTTAAAGTCTTTGGAAAAAGGACTGGAGAAGCGCACTTTAGTAATCAAGCTTGGATAAACTGTTATTTTTTAAATTTTACTATGAGGATAGCTTCCTTAGTTAAAATTGGGAATATTTATTGCATAGTAGTTAAGATTTATTGTTTCCTCTCTGTTACAGTCCAGCATGTAGCCTGCTTTAGTCAGCTGCATATGCATATCCCAGTCTCTTTCCCCTACACTATCTGCTGCAGAACTGCTATTTTCTCTCAGACTTCAGTGAGTTTTATTAAGGTTGCACTTTCAAGCCAAGCTGGAAGCAAGCAGCCTTTCACAAGATGACTTGACAGGAATGCGTGTATGAGTGCGCCCCTATGCTAAGGATGGCTGATGGCTCGGTACAGAGGGATCATCTTACAAACTGGCTGGATGCATGACCTCAATCATGCATGGCTTTCCAGCCCCTATTGCATACAACTGCTAAGGGCTTTTGATGAATTCACATAAGTTTAATAAGGAAGGCAGTCCACCTTAATACACTTCATATGTTCACACTGACCTATTAAAATGTAGATAAAGTGTAGAAGTTTGTTGTAATCCCTCTGTAAATATACGAAGCACTGAAATTAAAAATACTTTCAGTTCTGGGCTGCTCAGTATCTATTAAAGAATTCTAAGTCGGGCAAATGACACTTATGGGAAAAAAGTTACGTTTAACCCTCACATGCTTTAGCTACTTTTCTAAGACAATTGTGTTTCTTCAGCAGAGTTTGCAGAGAGGGGTTTTTACAGCATATAATGAAATTAAGGTTGCCAAATCGTAATGGGAAACGGCAGTTCAGAAGGATAGTAATTTTCTATGTTTGGCGTCTCAACTAAGGTAACTAATTATAAAGCAGTGAGGGATGGTGACTGAACTTTTCCAGATTGTCTTCTGTACTACTGTGTAGTTATCACACGCAAAACACTTCTTCCAATTTGCAAAACTGTATGGGCTATACAGGCACCCTGTGTTATATGTAGAAACCTTCTCAAGGGCAACTTCCTCAGAAAAAGATTGTGGTAACTATTTAAGAAACTATCTTATATTTAAATACTGCCTTTGGTACTTGCTAGAGACAACTTAAAAATGCACAGATTAGAAACATGATTGGAATATTCCTGAAATTCAGAGGAATTTGGATCTGAGTCCCTGCTCTAGTATTTGTTGTTGTTACATAAATATCAGCCAACACCTATGCAGACCACTTTGCACAATTTTTCCCATGTAAGTTAGTCTTCTAAATAGCAATAGCGCTTCACTAAAAAAACAACCTGCAAGGTTTTACCCACAAGGAAACATACTTGCAAGAATACTGAGTGCAAGCACCTTCAGCTCATGCAATTGCCATTTGTATCACAACTACAATTTCATCCTAAAAGAACTGCCTTGAATATTTAGCCAGGCATCTGACCTGCTCCTGAGGAAGCTATTGCTGCTCAAAACTGGGGGTGGAGGTTTTTCATCTTGCATCTGGAAGAAACCACTGCATTTAAACCAATAAGAAATATCCCCTACAATAATATAGAGAAATGAGAACATCTTATCTTGCTTTAAAATGTCTGTATGTCCAATATAGAGAGTGAGAAAAAAGGAAAGAATACAAACCAAAGAGCAAAGCATCAATGCTACTGTTGCTTTTAGCAAAATCAGATTATCCTTCCACCTCTGAACTGTTCAGGCCACCTTTGCATTGTTTTTTCTTTTCCTGGCTCTGAAAACCAACTTCTTATACCTTGCTTTCATATAGCATTTCTCATAGTTCTCCACCATCACCAGAACTAGTTCTGCTGTGGTTTGTTACACTGTCTTTGCAATTATTGTGAAACATAATTGCAAGATAGTTGTTCATGTCAGATCAGAGAGTTTCAGTGGGGAAGAAAACTGTCGGATCAGACACTGAGCTGAAGGGTTAGCATAAAAACAGCTATTCCCTATGAGGCAAAGCAAAAATACCAAAGCACAAACATGGTAACAATACTTGCTTTTTTTTTTTAAAGTAAAAAGAGAACTTTATGAAAGGGCCTCAGAGCAGCTAAAAGGGGAATAGCAAAGGTGGGTGTACAAAAGCTTCCTAGATTTTTAGTTCATATTTTAAAATACTGGTTTTTACACAAATATCACATTCACTTTCTGCAGAGTATTTAAGCAACAGGCTTATTCACTTGCAAACATGGAAAAGTGAGATTGTAAACTTAAAATTGATGTTTTTCAGATGAGAAAAGACTTCACAGAAGAGCAGGCTCACTTCAGTGCTATTGCATGCCCCCTTCCCACTGGCTTGAAGTGACTTCTCCTTCCCCTTCTGTCCTCCTCTTCCTGAGGGGTAGCCACAAGGACCTTCAAGAAGCGCACAGAGTTATCAGGCATCTTTGGCATTTGCTCATTTGTCTCCAGCTTAGTTCCCTGCCACAGCACCTGTCTCTCAAAGCCAGACCCCTGACCCCAGGCCCCAAACTGATGGATCACGGGCAGCACATAATGGTCAGGTGCCACACTGGGCAGATGTGGCAGAGCTGTGCAGCAGCCAGGGCATCTCCTACCAGCACGCTGCACTAAAGGTTTCCTTACTAGAGAGAACCAAGTCCCCCCATGCACATACTGCCCACATCTGTGTCATAGGGGTAGCACAGCTGAGACATCTTGTGTGTCCACGCACGTGGGGTCTCACGCAGAGGCACAGAAGGGTTGGCAGGAGCCTGGGGAAGCCCAGGATCCATTCTGTCACTTCCAGTTTGCAGCCTTTCTAGCCCAAGGGGAGGCACAGAAAGGCAGTCATGAATCGTGCTGGAATGCACTTAAATCTTTGCAAGGACTCAGAGTGACTGCTGAAATGGCAGCAGCTCTGTTGGCTACACTGAAACTCAGCAAGCTTTGGAGCCGCTCTTGCTGATACCAGAGCTGGAGCTAGCCACCAGGGTCCCTAACCAGCAGCACAGACATTCCCAATCCTATAACACAGGGACCACCAAGGTCACCTTACTGTTCCCTCAAACACATAGCAAAGTCACTTTGATAAGGACATTGTACCAGCCAGGCCAGGTTCAGTTTATGCTCCTCCCTGGTACACTCATGCTTCCGTGCATACTTCCCAGGCAGAAGTGGAACAGCAAATACAGAAAAAAGCTTGTTTCTGGATCTACAGCCACTTAATTCCACAGTGAGGTTTTCTAAGGAGTTCCATTTTATCTAAGGAAAACAGGTTTAGAAATAAGAAGCGTTTTTATTTTCTAAAATTCCCTATTCCTATTAAGGTATTTGCTTTTTTCTTTCCAAAAACCAACCAACCAACCAACCAACCAAAACATCTTGCCCAGAGTTTCAACAGTTTGGTGTCTTCTACCCGATTTGATAGATGTACAGTTTATTATCCCAGTACCACACGATCTGAGACCTGTCCCAGCTTTTTAAGACCTGAAAATTTCAGTGAGGTGAAGAAAAAAATAGTTCTCAAAGTTCAGTCAAGGTCACTGTGGGTATTTCTGCAGGATCTTACATGATATACTATAGATATAATCTAGATGTCCAGTATTGCAAAGAAAATCAGTGGCTCAGGCAGAAACTGAGTAGGGGCATGGATGTGTTTAAAAGACTATTTTCCTAAGACCACTTCCTCCAACACAATGACTAGTTTTGTATTCCCTGAACTCTTCCTTCTGTGTAACAGGGAAGGGATGGATCCAGAAGCTTCCTTCCCAGTCCATGCAAAGTCTCATACACATTGGTTTTTTAGTAGCTATACAAAATACTGTAGCTCACTATGTAACCAATCCTACAAGGCAAAATAAATGGGAATTCAACATCCAGATAGAAGTTACATTCACATGGTCAGTTCCCACATATCTAGCATTAATATAATTTAATGGCTTTTGTCACAGAATCATATGCATGCTCAGAGTTCAAATTCAAATTCTAGGAAATTAAAATCTATTTTTCTGTTTCTTTACATTTCTGCTGCAATATGTATTATTGCTGCACATGAGCTGCAATAAAGTTGCATCATGTCACACGCTGTAAGTAGAGTTACTCCAACTCAACTTCCTCAGCGTATAAGGGAAGTCACTACAGAATGGCTCCTAAGTATAGGTATAAGAATCAGGCTTTTATCTCTAGGTAAACCAATGCTATACAGTAAGACACAAAATGTTTATTCTCAATGTAGCACATTACAAAGAACTTCATTCTAAATATATAAATTTGAATGAATAAAATAGGATCTGAAGTCCCGTAAGTCTGACTGGTTATGTGCTAATGCTTCCCCAGTGACTCCAGTGGAGATGGTCCCAATTTACCATAGTGCTGAGACCAGAATGGGATGCAGGATATTTGCCTGACCCTACAGAATCCAGACGGTATTGAGAGCAGATGAAGGGGAAGACTTACTTACTATGCAACAACACTTTCTCCTACTACCTGTATGCTTTCTTTTCTTACTCTCCTGGGAACAAGCAAGTAGTCATCTCAGATAAATTACTCCTCAGGACTGAAGCTTGTATATTTACATGTGCATATTTAAGGTATGATCCCATGTAGTGCTGCTCGCCAGATCCTTCCTTCAAAGGAATACAGCGATGGGTGCTGAGTCACACTGCAGACCAGCCCAGCTCTCCGGCATTTCATTTCACACCTGGGAACAGTAAACAGCTGGGAACATTAACAGAGTGGCAAAAAACAGCAGCTCTTAGAAGAACACTGTGGTTTACCACAGAAACATCTGAGCTACTGGTTATGCCTTATGACCTGTCTGAATTTTGTCTCACACGGAGGCTGCGAGGCTTCTCCAGGCAAAAGCTTTATCGGACTCTTTCCAAACATGTTGGCAGCTGAGGAAGCTAGGTGTTTTCTGAGAACTTATTTTCATGCTGTTGGGAACATGGGAAAATCAAGTTGTTCTTATATTCATAACA